GTCATACACCACTGTGTGAAAACATCATCACTGTGTCGTGACTGCAGCTCATGGGAAGCTGAGGGATTTTTAAAAACTTTGTTTAAAAATATGTAGAAAAACCTTAAACTTTGAAAACAGAAAAAAAACTGTTTTCTAAGAAAAACAGCCGAAGAAGTTGAAAACAGAGCTGAAAGCGAAATGTAGCCAAACGCTAACTTTAAAACAATAAGATAAGAAAAGCAAAGCCTTACTCAAACTAACCGAAAGCTAGCCAAACCTAGCATTAAAAATAGCAAAGRGCAATTACCAAAGAGTAGCTAAAGGCTAGGATAAATAAGCTAAAAGCTAATTATAAGCTAAAAAAACTAGGGAATGCTAAAAATTGCTAATTGCTGGAGAACCTTAGTTGTACACTAGCTAAAAGTAGAAAAACCTCAGCTAAAAATTGTTYATGCAAATTCAAAGTAGCAAAACACTGCTTAAAAATAGCAGAAAGCTAGTTTAATGCTAAAAGTTGCTAAATACTGTCTAAAAACAGCTAAAACCTGCTAACTGCAACAACCCAGTGTGTGAACAAGATTTTTATGTTGGAATCTGAAGGATAAAGACCTTCATCCTGTCTCCAGTCTGGGATCCAGTTGCATGTTTTTCTTTGTTCTTTCTTATATTTAAGTGTTAAAAACAGAGAGAATAAATTTCTAAATAAAAATAAAAATAAAAAAGTCCCACCAGAGTTTATCTGTTGGCTGTGAGGAGGAAGAGGAGGAAGAGGAGGAAGATGGTCTTAACATCTCAGCTGCCTCAGGTGTTTCTGTAAAAACAGCTTTAATAAAACACTGGTTTTCTGCTGCAGACTGACCCAGTTCAAGCAGGTGGTCCAGTTCACTTCTTCACTGGTTCTGTGGAACAGGTTCAAAATAAACCTAAACGTAAAACTGATGGTTTAAATTAAAGCTTAGTTTATTCAAAATGTCAGGAAGTTACAGAACTTTGTGAAAATATTTAGTTTAAGTCAATTTAAATTATAACTCTTACAGACGGAGACAAAAAGCACAAAATAAAAGAAATTAAGAAAAAAAAAGAGAATATAAGAAGTTAGAAAGTGATGAATATTTTCTTTATTTAGAGATAATTTGGATCTGAAACCGATGGGTTTGTTTTAAAATCTGAATGTTTGGGTTTTTAACTCCTCCTTCAGCTGTTGGTGAACCGGCTCTATGGGGGGGGGGG